CAGTGTTTCAAACGCATTATATTCCTCGAGACCATGGTTTTTAATATCTAAATATTCATGAATCTGCGGATCCCAGGGCGTAAGCACCACATTGCAGTATTCTACTTTGCATTAGATGATCCCTTACATCCTGACTCATTGCTCTATAAATTCATGCATGGTGACGAGGCAGTCTAGAACTCTCGGTTTAAAATCGTAAACCGCATTGTCAAGGTCCCTTGGATCATAAAAGCGGCGGTTGGGAACCAAAGGCCTTGTGTTGTCGATATTTACAGGGCGATAACTACTTTGAAATCGATGTAGATATTGGGTTCTCAGCTTTGGCTAATGCTATTCTGCATTTGGCTTTAAGGTATGTGACCTAAGTTACTAATGATATGGGGTTTGTGGTGGAGGCCCGAAGCGAGGAAGAGCTGCCAGAAAAGTAAATAGGAGCTGTGAGAATAGCCCAGATGGAGATGGGCTTTGCAGTATGGGTGGAACCCATGGGCCCAAAGTCTGTGAGCCGGGCACATGCCTGTCAACGGGAGAAGCTTTGGAATGCTGAAGCACCATCCAAGAGATGAGGAAGTGTAAGGAGAGAGAGATATATATGTATAGAGAGAGAGGGGGGGTGGTACTTGGGCCCCTAGGTTTTTGTGGGGTTGGATGGAGGATCGGGCTTCTTGTGTAGATAATAAGAGGGACAGAAGATAAATTGCTTTTGTAGTTTCTTTTTGTCTTGTTCTTTGTTCAATTAGTTCCCAAAATCATTTGATGGGATTTTTAGTAATATCCCATTTCTTTGCTTTTGCAAATAAACAAAATAAAAAATGGAGGTTTCATGATCTGCTTAAGTCCCAAGCTAGTAGGGTTTTTTTTTCAAAGGAAATTTTCCATGTGGGTCCTATGCTCCTATATCTTAGCTGGGTCTTAGATCCATAACCTGAGGCCCCTGTTATCTGATTTTAAATAGAAGAACAATAATTGCTTTTTTATAACTATTCCGCACCATCACAGGCTACCACATCACCTTAGTTGCTTAATGCAATGGAAAATAAAATTATATAACTTAATAATCTATTTTTCATATCGATTTTGAGCTCTTTTTTAGCTTAATGCAATGGAAAATAAAATTATATAACTTAATAATCTATTTTTCATATCGATTTTGAGCTCTTTTTTAGGAATGTTTGATCTCTAATATGGGGAGCATTATTATGAAAAACTAAATAAAACTTAAAAATGATATTTTTTAAAGGAAAAAAAAATTAACTACCAGTTTTATTTCAATGTGGGACTACTAGATGTGAGATGTCAAGGGACTACCATGTTTTCATACTTACGTAGAATAGCGTCCCCTCAATCTCATCCACAAAGTACTCCTAGAAACGACATCTCTCTCTCTCTCTCTCTTTTCTCTCTCTCTCTCTGTCATGTATGATCCACGCTATCATAATAAAACTTCAATTCTTGATTGCGAGGTTACGACGTTCAGCTCATTTATTTTTGTATGTTCAGTTTAGTCGCTTGGTTGTGGAGGTCACATCTTCAAAATTTTGGAATTCTAAAAATAGTTTTTGATGGTATTTTACTCAAGGGAATGAATATATTTATAATGTGCTCCCAAAGGAATTAGGCTACGCCTGACGAAAATAATAAATACCAATGTGACATTGTTGCAGGAGTACCTAGTATTTCAAAACCCGATCAGTGAAGTAGATCGATCGATAATCCAAATCGATCTAGATCGGTCTGAATCGGTATTTCAAAAAATATTAATAAATAAATAAACTTGGAGTTTATGGGGTGAGGACTTGAGGAGGACCCAAAATAACATCAGAGCTTTAAAAATAATAATAATAATAATAAAAAAAAAAACAATATAAGCTTGGGGGTTGTAGGGAGAACTAGACCGAGACCCATACCATACCGAAACTAGTTCGGTTCCAAAGAATTATCTATCCAATTCGACGATCTGGATCTGGAACTGCCCAGGCTGCTCCAACCATTTAATAAAAATCCAATTGAATGTAATAGGTATCCTAATACTTAAATTATATAAGCGCGGCAACACAAAGATTTTTGCTCTTTTTTGGGTAGGTCCAGATTAAAAGTCAATGGCCCAGTATTGCAGGCTCACTCTTTAGCATTCATGGCAATGGACACCTCCATTATGACAAAAACAATTCTGCTATAGATCCCTGGATCCATAAATTGTGTGCGGAGACAAAATATAAATATATATATATATATATTTCTCTCTTTGTAGGGGTAGGCTAAAAAAGAAAAATGCCAATTGTTACCTTATTTGCTTTGGAAACCTCAAGCACAAGAGCATATTTATCTACTACTTAAGTACTTAAGTACAAACTTGAGTGCAGTACTATTGTAATGCCCAGTTTGAGATTTTCAACAAGCGTGAAGTGATTGAGGTATGGCCTTTGATAGTGTGTAATGACATAACAGGATTTGTGTCGGTCCGATAAGGCTAATGATGATGGTGGTGATGGTGATGGTGATGGTGGTAGTGGTGGTGGTGGTGGCGGCGGCATCGGCAGCAGCCAAGAGAGCATACATAATCAATGAGAATTCATGTTTGGGCTTTTTTATATAAATTTTTTTAAAAGTATATGATATAAGGCCATTTATTTTTAGTATAAAAAATCACAACCATTAATTACTATTAGATATAAAATTTTAACTATAAATATTCTAATTATCTAAAAAACATTTCCATCAAACGCTTCTTGGTAAACTCCAATGGCTACGAATTCGTTTAGTGATTCATGAGGTCATAGTAAGAAGCAAGTCCATATTAGGAAATGTATCCAATGAGTCCATTTACTTTTTGTATAAAAAAAGTCACTATGGATCGATAGATGTAAAATCAGGTGGTTGGGAATGTGACATTGACTAAGTGTATTGTCCAAAACAAAACTTCTCGAATGTCATTACCCATTTCAATCCATTAAATATCACATCCGAGAGTTAAAAATGATTGTGACCTTGTTGTATCAAAAATAAATAGTCTCATAATCTACCATCCCTATTTTTATGGTATGGATCTTTTATTATCAAGAGAGTATATGCTCTGAGGAAGCATGCCGTACAATCAAACCCTTTTGAAACCCTATGTGCTAGTTTTCCCGGGATTTTATGATTCAAATTTAACACCTAACCTAAAGGCCAAGGCTCAAAAAATAAAAAATAAAAAAAACCACCATATATGAACACATGAACATAACATTTTATCGAAAAAGGTCATCCAAAATAATTTAACACCTAATCTAAAGACCAAGCCTCAAAAAAAAAAAAACACTATCTATGAACACATGAACATAGCATTTTATCAAAAAAAGGGTCATCCAAAATTTTGGATGGTCAGATCTATGTATCTTTAGAACTCGAGATCTTATCCTCATTGTTTCAAAAAAAATCCCATGGATTGCTCAGTTGATTTCCAAATTTCAGATAGGAGATCTCCTTGGTTAGGTATTTTGCGCATGGGATTAGTGTATATGTGCTCCCGCAGGAGTACACTCCAGAAGCCCTTATCTTTTCATGGTGAAAAGAAACAAAAAAGTCACCCTTATGCTTCCAGCGTATCTTTTACTTTTACAACGATCAATATTTCAAAGTTTGGCCGCTCCAGAATACTAGTTGGGGGAGGGGGGACTCTCTCTCTCTCTCTCTCTCTCAATACTAGTAGAGAGAGAATAGAGAGAGGTAGGAGTCTCTCTCTCATATGGCTTCTTCTAGGTATCAGAAATGGAACAATTCAGCATTTCTCAATGTCACTCCCTCTTCTCTACAACCCACCATTAAAGCATCTCCAAGCTCTCATAAACCACTGCAATACCTTTTCTCATCTTTCGAAACAAAAAACCACAAAAGAGATGACGAATCTGACATTGAATCAGTAGGGAGCACACAGGATATTGTTGAAGAAATAGCAGAAATCGAGGGGGGATCCAACGCCTAAGATGCAAATTGGCAGAGATCAGGCTCCATCAAGTTACAGTGTTGAGAGAGAGGAAACCCTCTCTCTCTAATAAGGAAGAAGCTACGCAAATAGACGATGAAAGAGAGAACATTGAAAAGAAGAAAAAGACGAACTTGGATTGGGAATTAGAAAGTGAAAGAGCTGAAATCAAAGCACCTTCAAGAGATCGCAGACTGGTTTTCACTGTAAGTGGAAATAGACCACTTAGGAGAGAGGTTGAGGCAAGGTACATGCAACCCAAGAAGCTGTTTGGCGATGTAAGTGCCATTGAATCTTGCAAGAAGGAACCGGACTCCGAAAAATTGTTGAGTTCTCACCAAAAAAGTGGTAGGATAGTGGCTAGTAGGTACCTTCAATTCCTTTGAGAAATTCAATCGACTGCCTCTCTTTTTTAATTTCTTGTCTCTTTTTATCAGACTTTCATTTTATTTATTTTTGCAAAATAGGGTCTCTGGTTTGTGGTTTGAACACAGTTGAATACGATTCTTCTTGAAAAAAGCATGGATTGTATGTTGTGCTAAATATTAATAAAGAAATTATCTACAAAGAGTGCATTTATCTTCTGCAGGTCACAATCATTCTTGTCCTTCAAATTTCAAAATAAGTGTTTGCAAAAGTGTTATTGAATAGACAGTTCCACAAAAAAAATTTCTCAAACTTACTGACTCACCAAAGTCATCCAATTTGATGTGGGAATAATAGTTACCTCCATATACAACAATAAATGATACCTTTGTAGACAATCTCATTAATAAATGCAACGCTTTGTGGTGGCATTGGAGAAAGGGGTTTAGAACCACATAGAATATCCATGGCCGGCAGATTTCAGTTGACATTTATGAATATGTTGTTTACAGATCTAACCAAAGAAAAAACCTCTGGTAACCAAGAGAGAAGGTTTTAAGGAAAAATCCCTAAAGATTTCCAAACTTTCAGTTTTCCTCAATAAAATTCAGAAAAAAAAAAATTTGGAAAGATAAAAAGTCAGAAAATTCTGATGGAATTGATCGAAGTATAAGTTACCTCACCAACCATGGTATCTTCTGATTCTCTTTTATGATAAGACACTGATACATCCACACCAATCAAACTAAAACACTATATTTACATCACAATGCAGTTAAAAAATCACCAACCATAGGCAATAAATTAACCCAAGTCAGCCCCACTAAAGCATTAAGCCATATATAGAAGGGAGAAAGCACAGTCAATATACAAAAAGCAAAACATCGGCAAAGAGAGATGCCAATCATATTATGTGAGAGATGGAGGGCATCGATGTTTGAGTAAAAAAGTGCTACAGATACTTCCCAAGAGATGAATATTGAGATCTCGAACCAAATAATGATGAAGCCGTGGTTCCCCGTTGCCTCTTGACCTGGAAATCACAAATTATTTGCACTTGGAATAACAAAGTACAGAATAATACACCACAGCAATTGATTTCACAAACTGGAGTAATGCTCCGTATTCCAATATAGTTTTCTCCTCTAAATGATTCAAATGTCTCACTTTTGTTTTATAAAATTATAATTGCACCAAATTAAGATGAAAAACATCATTTTTCACAAAAACACATGAAAACTATTTTCCAAATTCACTTAAATATTCATCAGTTTTTCGTGGACAACCAACAAGCAACATTTCATACAATTGAAGAAATTAGAGATTGCTATGAGGTGCGCAAATTCCAAAAGTGAATGATCATTGTGGTAGTAAGGTAGAAATAACAGGAGAGACAGAGAAAGAGAGAGAGTGAGAAAGAGACCGCTTTTCCATCCACCAAAAATCTTCAGATGCTATGGCTTCTGTGAATGTGCGCATGTGCATGTGCATATGTGTGTGTGTCAGAGAGAGAGAGAGAGAGAGAGAGAGAAAGAGACCTTCTCAGAATTGAACAGATCATCTGCAACAGCTTCCATTTCTTTCCTTTTCTTTTCTTCTCTACGGAAGTCTGCCACCTCACTCCCATAATCTGATTCTCTGAGCACAAAGTGGAGTTCAGTACTATTTAACTTTCAGGATCTTCAAGTTCAACAATTAAATGAATGTTAGAAACGAAGGCCCGAATTCTTACTTATATGGATACTTCGAAAATGGGATTAAATCTCGGAAGCTATTCCCAGATGGAACCTCTCTCTAAAGATACAATCAATGGGACCAAAATCACAAACATAAATTAGTCAATGAGCCAAAAAAATCAGAAATCAATATATGGTATATGATAAGACATGGGAGCATCCAATGTATACATTCCTGATGATGGATGATGTAGATTAAGTATATCAGAGTGGCTGAATTAATATCTAAGGTAACCTTGCCCCAAGAGAAATCAAGATTTATTATATACCAAGTCCAGGTTTAATATAAATGATGTAAAAAAATGGAGTCAGTTAAGCATTATTTTTATCTGGAAACAGAATAGATAGTCAAATACACATGGTGACAACTAATGGTCAGTTTTTTCTCTCTTTCTCTAAAACAATAATAATAATAAATAAAAATAATTGTCAACATCTTTCCCAAAATTTTAGCAGAAATTGTTCAAGAGGAATCTCAATTACGTTAGCTCATCAAATCAATCCACTTGGAGGAGTCAGCAGTGAAAAATTACCTTCCTAAATCGTTTAAAATTGATGGCCTCCGAGCTAGATTTATTCCTGTTTGAAGTCACAAGGCCATTTCTCACAATCAAATCCTGAGTGTATATTATGTCTGAATTATGAAGGGAAGGGGCATCGGATTCATCCTTCACACTCTTCACAATAATACCCCCATCTTCCCCTATTTCACTAGGCAGTGTCCTCTCCTCTGCTGTGACTTTGGCAAGGCCATCATTAGAGCTCCCTCTCTCCTCGTCGCTCGTGGATTTTTTAGACTGGACCAAAGCAGCAACACGATCAGAAGTGGCAGTGTCAGTGTCCACATCAGAGTCGGCCACAATGGTCTCATCAGTAGAGTGAGAAGATGAAACACGTACTGCATATTTACAGGAATGGAAAGTAATCTAATTGAAGTCCTTGTTTCATGCAAGAATTTGCAGGAAAGAAATGAAACCAGAGAACAAGAATTTTCTTCAATGATACTGCTGGTCATTTCTAAGAAAAAGAAAAAAAAGAGAACAGAAGCCAGAGAACAAGTATATTATGGCTTATGGTAGAGATGCACACTATAAAAACCCAAATCCTGCAAAAGATGTCAATGACGCACAGAATACCAGGTGTATCTTAGCTTGAAAAAGGGGAAATGTATATAAACAAGCCTAGTGCTAATGGGGGCTGCAAGGTTCTGGAGTAACCAGTTCATAGCAGGCACCGATGAGCTAATATAGAGTTACATGAGTTTACAGTGTATTGCCAGCATTCCATAAGGAAAACTCACAAGAAGGCAACTCCAGAATAGATGGGTCCAGATGTCCAGATAAAACACAAGCAACCAGCTTAACCTCATTGACTCTGGATATTGAATTGAGAGAGCGCAGAGTGTGAATATCATTTTCTGATCCTGAAGGGATCACATGTGCTATGAGCTTGCTTGCACCGTCCTCCAATATCTGGAAATGTAGAAAAGAATAATGAGTTTAGTCACTTGTTAAAATGAATGCTTCTAGTTATTACTGAAAGTAATGTATGAAAGCCAAAGGGTCATAAGGACCATTAGTACACATGCTACTCATTGCAAGTGGTTATAATATCTGATTCATTTTATTCAAACCATTTCCTCTTAAGAGTTGTTGAAACTTTGAGCATTAAGAATTTACTTGAGCTGCACATGTTTTTTAATCAAAATGGCTGGGGCTTCATGCAGTCAAGGAATTAGGGTTTTCCTTTTCTTTCTTAGGGGTATTTACACCTTTTTTGTTATAGAGAATTTAAGGGGTAGAAATGAAAATTTAGTACTAAAATGGTGAAGGACTAGGAATTTATATGGGTTAGGGTTTCTTATGGAGCAAGTTAGCATTTAGGGCATTTTTCTACAAATATGAAGTGTTGGACAAGGATATAGAAGAGAAGAAGAACTTGTTATTTGGTCTCTTAAGGTCCTTATGAAAGGACCTTTTAAGGTGGATCCTTTATACACCCAAAGCAAGGGTCAAATTTTCTTAACTTTTTAGGGTGGACTCCCCTGCAGATCCAAAAAGATGGTATATCATGTCACCTTTTTAATCTCTATTTTTTTAATTTATTTCATTGTTCTTTCTCTTTCTTAAAGCTAGCAGTATTAGACCCTTGATATCCGTGCAACACGGCGCCATAAAAAACATCTACATATCCATTTTTGGAGCATGGATCAAATATTTGGGAGAGTCCAAAAGGACCTAGAAGAAATACTTGGCAAACTAATACAACAAGTGGTATAAAAACTACTCAGCATATCAATACAACATATGGAAACAAAATATGAAGAGAAGGAAGATAAAAATTTGACCCTTAATTCAAGTGTTGGTCGAACATCACCACAAACCCCAAAAGTTGAACTGGTTGTAAGGCATGAAATACAAGTGGTAGATGCGTGATATTTTGGTATCGCAATACCTCCCAAAAGTACATGGCTTCATTGGCATATCACAACTTTGTTGGACTAAGTTCAATCGAAAGTTTGCATGGAAAGGATGAAGATTTCCAGTTGTAACAAAGAAGAGAAGATAATGAAAGAAAACTTTCGAATTCTTTAATCTGAAGGACAAGCTTCTCCCAACCTCGAGAAAATGATGTGGTTAAGTTTTTTTTTTTTGGGTAATTATGTAGTTAAGGTCTACTTTTATTGGTTGGGGTATTTTTCTTAGGGAACAATAGGGTTAATCTAGTATTTAAGTTTTGTAAAGATTGATATTTTAGGATTTTATTATGTTGTCGAGAATTGAGGGGTAGAGTTGGTATTTAATTTTGAGAAGATGAAGGGCTAAGATTTAATGGTGATCAAGCTTCCTTAGAGAGTAAGTTAGGGGTTTATCCTTTTTCTACAAATATGTTAAGTATTGAAAAATGAAAAGATAGAGAGAAGAATTTATTTTTTAGATCATGTGAAAAGATCTTTTTGGGTGGAATTCTTTGCAAACTTAGAGAAAGGGTCAAATCTCTCAGCCATTCGGGTGGACTCCCTTGTAGATCTAGATATCTCTCGCCATCTTTTATTTTTTTAATTTATTTTATTTTCTTTCTCCATCATCATCATCATCATAGCCTTTTCCCAACTATTTGGGGTTGGCTATCATCAGAGCCTTTATCTTATTTTGTTTCTCACTCCTGCCTATATGAAGAGGTATTAAAGTCTTGAGATCCATATGACACACCACTAAAATCATCTGCTGGTCCATATTTGGAGCGCATGGATCGAATATTAATTGGTGCAAGAACAACCAGCATATTCATGCAACAAATAGAACAAAAATATGAAGAGGAAGATAAAAATCAACCTTGAATCCAACAATTTAATCAAACACAACAGTACACTCTGGAATTTGAACTAGATATATGGCACTAATACAAGTGGTGGAGAGCACAAGAGATTTTAGTGTTGCAATCAACCTCCCAAGATTACATGGCTTCGTTGGTATATAACAATTTTATGGATTAAGTTCAAGAACATAAAGTGCCACAGGAAAAGGGTAAAAATTTACAGTTAGAACAAAGTTAAAAAAGTACCGGGCAAATGGTTGGATTACACCACCAACTATTTGTGAGGTCTATCAAGCATGCGGTATATTCAATAAGCTCGAGGTCCAGCTTCTCCCAAACTTGGGAGAAACATAGTCAAGGAATTAGGGTTTTCCTTTTAATTTTCCTTTCTTAGGGGTGTTTATGTCTTTTTTATTGTAGAGAATTTATGGGATATTTGGATATTAAAATTTAAAAGATGAAGGGATGGACTTTAATTGTGATTAGGGTTTCTTATGGAGCAAGTTAGGCTTTTGAAATATATTTTTTTCATACAAATATACAGGTGTTCGACAATAATATAGAAGAGAGAATAATTTATTTTTAGGTATTGTGGAAAACCAGAGAGGCTCAAAACTCTCAACTTTTGGGGTGGACTCCCTCATAGACCTAGAGAGAGTATATACTCTCATCCTGTTTTTATTTGTTATCTTTCTGGTTTGTTTTATTTTCTTTCTCCTTCTTCGTTACATCAGTTCTATGAACCAACAGAATTCTATGCACCAGATGTCGAAATGTCAAGAATCGCAATGATTGAGAAACAAACTTTAAGAACCCAGGTCACTGATGTCTTTTTTTTGTATATATTTTTAAAAAAATGTTAATGGTGGGAATGATGCCTAGGACATTATGTTGCGGCACCTGTCCCCCTAACCACCGATGCCCCAACCCATTTCCCATGTCTTGGGAACATTTCTTCTTATTATATTGTCCAACAATTACAAAACAAAAGATGTTGGATATGAGTTGCTAGTGAGTGTCAATATAGTTAACCTGTAAACAAAATTAGCAAATGAAAAACCTCGTTGGAGGAGTTACTGATAACTAAAATGAAATGAATTAATTATATTGACCTGTAAGCAAAATTAGCAAATGAAAAATCTCGATGGAAGAGTTACCTGATTACTAAAATGAAATGAATCAAGGGAGAGAACCTTTGCACCAACCACTTCTAGCAACAGCCTCAATCTTTCCCCATATGTATACTGCACCGAAATGATTTAAGTTAGAGTGAGAGCTTGACTTCAACAAAAAAACCATTGGCATCAAGAAGCAAATCACCATATGTGAAGACCGTAATACAAAAGTATATCCCGCTAAACAGCTTTCCCGAACTGTTGGTTCCACAACTTTAACTGATGACGAATGTTCTCCTTCTCCTAACGTCAAAGTTGGAATGCAACTATGAAAATAAGTAAAACCAATATGTCAGCTTCATGTGGATTTGGACGAAAGTACTGAAGTACAGTGATACAGAGTCTACATAAAACAACAAAATTAACGGTATTTGTGAAAGAAAATATGAATAAACTTACGTAGAGCAGCTAGGAATTTCATTTGAAACCTTTTTCTCTGCAACAGCCTGAATCAAAAAGTTGATGAACAGATATAAGTCCTTGAAAATCAAAAGAAGTTAACAATCCAAAAATGAAAGAGCAATTAACTATCTGAACAATAAAGCAGCTCGTGGCCAAATTACCACAATTCAAAAGAACCATGTACTTAATTCAAGGGAAATATAAGAGGAATGATTTCGAGTCCCCACAGACAACTACTTATGAGCATCATTTGGTGCTTGCCACACACTGATCAGAATAAACATACAACACATGTAATCTTCTAAAAGACATTACAAAATACACCGCATATATGACAATGGTGATGAGGCATCCACCATATAAGGAAATGATCCCAATGGTGGGCCTCACACCCTATCCATCACCATCCATGTTGTTCGTTGGATGATGATCACCATAGTGTAGTACTACGTTGGGTTATTATAATATACTTACCATGAATAAAACACTAGAACTAAAGGGAAACCTGAAAGGTGGGAGATCATCATCATCATCATCGTCATCTACGCCATATCCCAATGATTTGGGCTTGGCTATATGAATCCGATTCCTCCATTCTTCTTTATCAAGGGCCATCAAGTTCAAGATTCATGATCAGATGTGGCAAAGTTTTACATTGACCGTCTACTTAATGCAATTCACTTCCTTTACCCGGCCCTAGGACATGTTAAGGGAAGTATAAGGTCCTAACCCTTATTAGACTAGAAAGGTGGTAGATACGTTTTTGAAAATTTTGGAAATGCGTAAGTACTATGAATCACGTTGCCCAGGAAGATGATACCACATTATGACAGAATGTTGGAATAAGAAAAATAGTTCCCAGAGTAGCACCTGTGATACTGATCTTGCAGCCTCCTGCCTCAGATGCAAGAGCCATCAAGTCCAATTCTCAAAAAATGCCTTTTTAACATTTCTACTTATTACTAGAAGCATGATATTAGGAGAAAATTAAGAACAATATAAATGTTTGAGCAACCCACAAGAATCTCCAAGAGGTAATTCTCAAGGAGTTTATCATAGTAATAGAAAAACAAGAAGGACGAGTAGTAAAGATTCCAGCAAGGAGCTCTAGAGCATTGATTGATCTCAACATCTGTTGAACCTTGATGAAGATCACCTTTAATGAACATGTGTCATCTAGTACCCATGTGTTATTTGCTTCTGTAATTGAAAAATCAATGCTGCTAATTGAAAATATCCTTTTAACTATCCTAACAATGATTCACAACTTATGTATTAACAGTCTCAAATAAATCTTACAATTGCACCAGTTACTATATGCATTGTTACCCCCATGAATGATACATGGACTCAGCATTAAAGCCAACCTAAAAAGGGTATATGAGGAAAAATGTTGAGATTTTCCAAACATACTTATTTGGGCTGGGTGTCTTAGGAAATATTATCCTGTTAGAGGTGCAAAATTGACAAATACAAGTAATTAAGAATAAAGATCTTAAAATTATACCTGAACCCAACTGCTGAGAATGACAGGTTGCTTTGCCACAACAGCATCAAGAAGGTTGACAGTCACCAAGGAATGTTCATTAACAAGTGCATGTGTGCATCCCCCTGTCCATGTCCGAGTAGCTGATGCACCTGATAAATTTTCCACACAACAATTTGTGAGATATAAAGCTTGGTCAAAACAAATCACAACTATTGTTAGATGAAAATTAACACCTCTGAAACAAAGAAGAGTAGCAGAGTAATAAACTCACATAAAAATATTATTAATCTGGAAAGAGAAAAAGAAACCTAATAAACATTTCAGTAGAGCAAATTATAATTGTAAAACCAAAAGGCATAATTGCCAGAAAGGTCAAACATGCTATAGGTTGACAAATGAGAAAATTAAATAGATCATATAGAAGAATTATTTACATATCCCTACATATGTACAGAAACTTACAGAATATAACTGCAAATATCTGATATATAGACAAGAGAGTGAACTAAATGATTCTGGGCTAAACGGAGCAAATAAGAATGTCATTGGGAAGACAAACCAATCATAGAGATCATGTCTTCAATGGCGTTATTGTCTTTAAATGACTCCTCAAAGTGAATATAAATTAAGAGTGGTATGTAAGAAAACCTGCCAAAAAATAAAACAAGGAAAATAAGAATGGAACTCAGATAAAGACCTGATATTCTTATACAATTAACTCCAGTTAAAAGTGCACCTCCACTCAGAAGGAAAAAAAAAAAAGGAGCATTCTTAACCTCTGAGAAATTATTTCCAGAATATAACATTAGATTTAACTAAAATGGAAACAGAATTAACCTGAATGATGCATCACCAGTCCCAAATGTAATGAGGTCCCCATTTCTCAAAGTTGTCACCTTATTTGGAAATGAGAAAACTGGCTTTGACTCGGTATTCTTGTTTATAAAGGTGCCGAACTTTGAGAGGTCTAGAAGACTAACATTGGAAGGAAGATTACTGGACTTGCTCTGTGAAGGATCCCATGAACTCATTAAATCAACTATAATTTCAGCATGAACACGTGAAATGGTTCTGTCTGTTTGAATAATTATATCACAGCCTACAAAGTACAGAACAAATAAAATTCAGTGAAGTAAATAACTTTAGTGGTTGAGAACGACCAGGAACACAGGATTATATATACATCGTTACATGCATATAAAGAAAAGCATACCATCCTAGCAGTTGAGTTCCAAACAGTATCCTACCATCCTTTCAACTGTCTGTTATTGACATTGGATGGTTCAGAAGATGGTAGGTTCTGTTTGGAACCCCATTGTACAATAGTAGATGAACACCACATACTTACCGAGATTTATTGAAATGTGCAAACTATAATTGATATGATATATAACTCTAAGGGGTAAATAAATCACAACCCAAAAGACTAAGATATTTTCCTCAACCTGAACAGAAATACTCACAAAGGCCGAACACTATCACAAACAAATTTACCTTTTCGACCCACTTTGTATATCCCTTTGGAGCATATATAGTGTTTTGGCATTCCTGCAAAAGTTTCCTGAAGATATTAGACAATAAGAAAGTATCTGCATATAGAATTTTCAATGGGAGTCATACAAGACACTGTACACCGTGACAGTGTTTCACTTTCTGCTTTTAACACAGCAGTTCCAACAGAATATCACAAAAAAATGGTTAACCAGCCCAAAACAAACACCTAAAGCAATTTTAGTACAAGAGTGACATGAATCACATACAAAAAATACATAATTATGACATAAGTTACGGCTTATGAACAAGCATGTTAGTCAAAATAAAGACAACCTTCTATGAGAGAGGACGGAAAACAGACTCAACTTCATCCATAAAGAGCAAACCACATATAGTATATTCTCCTAGATTCCTACACCTAAAGATGGTATGCAAATGATACACCTGTTTCTCAGGACTGCTTTCAAAAACGTAATATCACATCCATACATAGCACAAGACCTAACTTAATGAAGAAGTTAAAGTTATCAGTCACGAACTATAACAAAAAATGCAATTGGTTTCAGCTTTTTATTTACTAACTAATATGCAATCCATCAAAGCTAACCACAAGCTATAAGTTGTCTAGTTCGAACTATGAGGAATAGAATGGTGCAAGCTTCTTAGTTTGCAAGTTTTGTTTATGGACTAATCAAGCACCTGGTTGCAAGTCACATGCGATGCATCATAATACTTCAACAGAAATCACACAATCCCCTCCCACACAAATAATTGCTAAAACCAGGGATCAAAAGCCAGACTCGGGTAGGGACTCCCTCAGCTCCTAATCCCGAGTTCCCCCAGTTCGACTTGGACGAGTACGAAACAGACCAGGAAGTTCAACATGAGAAAAATAAATTCATTAAGAAAAACAGGGAGGAATCAAGCTGTTCTGGGTTTCTCGGCCCAGAATCAACAGCCTCCCTATTCGTATCACTCAGATTAGTTCTGAGTTGGACCAGTGATTATAAAATAATGGCTAAAAAGCTCTTTGCTCAAAAAAAAAATGAACCCTTAAGTTACACAATGATTTGAAGACCAAATGTGAACAAGTAAATCAATCACTCATCTCTTTTACACTCTACAAATTGTTCTTCCAACACCTACTCATTTGAGAGTGGAAACCAATCAAAATCACCGGATAGTGAACCTTCCGAACATAGGCACACACACAAGTTTTACTCAAAGCAATCTGAGAAAAGCAAAATCAGGAAAGCCAAATAACTTGTATCACGCAATTATCTACCACTACAAAAGGTTGGAAACTAACCAATTCTCAGTAATGAAATCCACATCCCACCGATAAGCTTTTTGTTCTTTCTTTTTTTTTCCAATGTTGAGATGGATGATTGGCAAGATAATAAATGATAGAATTCGAAATGAATACATTCGAAAGAACTTAGACGTGGCACCAATAAGCGATAAGATGAAAGAGAGTAGCCTTCACATGGGCAATGCAGACCCAATATGACAATTATTAGGAGGTGCGAGTTAGTTCAAGTACAAGGCTAAAAAAGGGCAAGGGGTCGGTCCAAAGGACATGGTTGGAAGTAGTGAGAAAAAATATGAAGACTTATGGCCTCACAGCCCTTGATAGTGACAGAATGGCGGACTACAATTCGTGTAGCCAATCCGAAATAGTTTGGGAAAGGCTCAAATGATGATGATGATGGCTCTATCAAAAGTTAAATTGCAAGTAGGAACTTAAAAATAGCAGAATTATCACTCTTCTTCTTATTTCAAACAACAAAGAAAGGAAAAAAAAATAGAGAAATTGGGTTTTTTCTTATGAATAGAAAAATTGAGCTTCAACCTCTTGGTTTAGGGATTAGGGCAAGAGGGGCCACCACAATATTGAATCCCAACATATACATTAATATTCCCAAAAAACCAAAATACAGTCGGAGAAAAAAATACTGTTTCTGGTACAAAATGGCCAGTCCCAGATTAAACTCGGTGTTATAAATTCTACATATCCACTAATTAACTCTAAAAGATAAAAAATATAGCTGTTCCCCTTTCCATTTCATGAATGAATACCTGTTTTTCACTACATCAATACCAGGTTCTAACAGAGAGAGTCACACGGTAAAAAAAATAGCATAAAAACCATGAACCCCAAATATAGAGAGAGGAAGAATTTACAAATGGCACAAAAAAAACAACAAATGAACCTGGATTAGGGAGAGAGATAGAGAGAGATTACATATGACACGCTGAGAGCAACAAATGAATCCCAGAGAGAAAGAGACAGACAGAGAGAGAGATTTAACATGAAAGAAAGAAAAAATCCAAATATTAAACCAAGAGGCGGACGAGGGGAGAAGAGAGAGAGAGATTGTACCTTGAGAGGAACCCATAGACGAAAGCTCCCAGACCATTGAGCCTTCTGCAGTGGAATGAAAATATGCAAGAGAAAAATCTCACAAATCAGTTTCTCTCTCTACACCTGATAGAAATAGTACCACGCTCTCTCTCTCTCTACACTCCTTCCCGCCATTACTCAAACCCAAGAGGCTTTCCCCAATACTCGATAAATAGACCATGAGAGCAGTTTATACAGTTCTCTTATATTTTCTAAAATATCCAAACTAGGCCTCCCCTCAAAAATTTTAGCGACATGCCAACATTTTTTTGGGAATACACGGCAATACCCCTACAAAAATTTGGGAAAAGTTTATATAGAGCGAAGGCTCTAAACAATGAAATTATAACCTATTTCAAAAATCTCACCATAAGAGGTAATTTTGATGCTCAAATATTCTCAAATTGATCATCACGCTATTAAGATGCATGGACATGAGAAGTAGATAGATTTCAAATTTTAAAAATAATATATTTTATAATTTATTTTTTGACCCTCATTTTTCAAGTTTTCATAAATATATCGATCTACATTATTTTTTGAAGTTACTACCGAGATTTCCAATACTAAAACCAATTTTTCGATATTATTTGAAGGTATTCTCTAATTTGATTGTTTAAATTACCCTTGTTTTTAGAAAACTAAGTCTTCGCTAGGGACTTCAACCAAATAAAATCAAAACTTTTAATGTCGGATATTTTAAACCAGCTTTTAGGACGAGTATACTGTTTGGATGGGATATAACCTAGGTTTTTAAATTCCATTAGCCAATTGATAAGTCCTAGGTTTGAAATGCTTTTCCCTCTAATTTTAGAAACACTTCGTTAAGCCTTCCTTTTTCAAATAATGAAAACTCCTAATGTTTACTCTAAATTGCTAGTTTTTTAATTATTTACCAATGTTTTTAAATTCGGATCGGTGAGTTGGATCATTTACTCCACAAATTCATATCGATTAGTTAAATCGACGATTCTAATTATTATAAATCGATTCAAACTGGCAAAATATAGAAAAATATTTAAAAATAGATAAAAACAAAAGTTCATAGTGGGGATTTAAAAAGACCTAAAAAAACACATGTATAAAATACCTAAAAAGTTCGAAAATAGACGGTATATATAATGTGTTACAAATATCTACCATTTTTTATTTTTTAAACCATTTTCCATAACTTCCATACATCTCGAGATTGAGACGAAAAATTTGATAGTTCTCCAGTATCAATGCAACTTTTTTCAATGGATTTATGAGTACGTCTTATGTTAATAGTATACTTAAAAGATGCATTTTTTTTATAAGGCCTAAGCCTTTTAAAAAAAAAAAGATAAAACTTATTCTTTAAATCTTGTCCACAAAATACTTTGAAAATAAAAAATTCCAATGATGACTCTAAAATCTATTTCTACCAATAATTATAAAACTCGTAGCTCAAAAAATAGTTAGATCTTGCTGATCCACGATAACTTAAAAATAAATTGTCATGATAATATGCTGTAAAATATATTATTTTTAAGGCTTGAAATCCTAATTTTTCTTTACAATGATAAAAGTCGAGATGATCAATTTAAAGATACAACAAGTTTTGAGTTGAAGATTCCCTTATTTTTACAAAGCTCATGGCTTATTTTAACCTTTTGTATATTTAACTACATCTTATTTAAAGAGTATGAGGCTGACACCTTATGCGTTCTTCCCCCACAGGGAAAAAAAGAGTTTGTGCCCACATAGGATTAGGGGTAGCCAAGACCTGATGAGAAGACCTGACCTTGGGTTTGGGTGTAGGTCAATTTTTTAACTTGAAAAGTCAAGTCTAGGCTCAAAACCTGGATCCATATATTATTCTGGTTCTTGTGTCTAATTGGGCCCAACCCGTTACCACCCCTATCTATATGTGATGTTGGATTGCTTATGTAGCCATGTAGGTAAGAGTAATTGAATTAATACATCCGGTTGGGAACCCACCCTATTATATGATGCCTAGTGTCTTATTTTTAAGAAAAATTGTTTCAAGCGAGCTGTATTGCATCTCTATATATGCGGTCCAAAAAGAGTAAAGCATCCATCTTAAAAATGGATGCAAGTAGATGTTCCATCTAAAAACAATAGAAACGAACGGTTCAAATGTTTTCTTATTAGAATTATTATTTCTAATTTTAAAAATTTATTTATTTATTCATATTCATTATGACTATATTAAAAATTACATTATCTTTAAAAATTAAATCTTAAAATCCATTTCTAAAATAGATTTATTAAGAGGCCCGCATATGTACATATGTACATAAAAACTGGGTCCTATCTTTAATCTTCCCAACTCCTCCTTAAATTACTGCAATAGGGGCTTTTACCTGAAAGAAATGAATGGACAGTATACTCCCGCAGGAGTATAAAAATCTTTTGGCATTGAGAGAGAAAAACGGCACTGACAAGAGCAAGAGAATCTAATGAAATAGGGAAGGAAACGTGGGAACCATCATACCCGCCTCCGTGTTCCCGCCCCGCCGTCCTCTTCAAAACCCTAATCCCTTTCTCTCACTAAAACATCACAGCCCGAAAATGGCGTTTCACAATCACACACTGCGAAACCCGCCATTTTCTCTCTCTAAAAGTATGCTATCAAACGGTCCACTATCTCTCTCTGGAATTCAGCTTCCAAATCCTTTAATGTCTCTCACTGCAACTCTACAGGGATACCTTCATTTTTCTCTCTGTAAGACCCTGCTCAGAAACCCGCCACTTTCTCTCTCTAGAAATCTGCTCTGGACCCTGCCATTATCTTTCTCCGGAAATCATCTAGGAAGCCCAGTATCGTCTCTCTCTAGAACTCAACTTAGAAACCCACCATTCTCTGCCTCTAAAGCTCTGTTGAACCTCACACAAACCAGAACCAAAATCACTTCAGTCCAATATGTAGAAACTAGACACAGAGACCACTCCTTTGAAAAATTCATGCATGATTACAAACACTACCTCAAGGTCATAAAGATTCAGGACCTGATCCTTGCAAATCCCGATCTCCACCTATCTCTATCGTTCCTCTCAAAATTGAGCCAAAAGCTTCATCTAAATAGAGGAGCTCCTTCATTTCTAAGGAAATTTCCCCATATATTCACCATCTTCTATAACCAAACCTTAAAGGAACCTTTCTGCAAATTAACAGACACTGCCATGGCCATAATTCGACAAGAGAGTGAAGCCATTGAAGCCTCTGAAACTCTCGTGATCAACCGATTAAGGCGCCTTCTGTTGATGTCAGACACCAAATCATTGCCTCTGCGAGCCATTTTCAAGGTCTGGAGAGAATTGGGTCTGCCTGATAATTTTGAGCATTCGATTATAGCGAAGAACCCTATAATTTTCTCTCTGATTGATGCCCATGAACCTAACACTCATATTCTGAAACTCATCGATCTGGACCTGAATTATACTCCTGAACCAGCTGTAGATAAATGGAGGGTCGCTAACTATAGAGAGAAATCCATGGATGAATCAGAGATTAGGTTTGGTTTCAAGCATGGGTTCCCACCTGGTATGAAACTGAGCAAAGAATTTAGGGCTAGGGTTAGAGAATGGCAAAAGCTTCCTTATTGGGGACCATATGAAGACATCAGTGAAATCAGAGTTAACAAGAGATGGAATAAGGGGAAACCAAAGGCTGCAATCGCAGGACTGGAGAAACGAGCAGTTGCAATTATTCACGAGTTCCTGAGCTTGACTGTGGAGAAAATGGTGGAGGTGGAGAAGATAAGTCATTTCAGGAAATGGTTTCGGATCGATTTGAATATAAGGGATTTGTTTCTTGATCACCCTGGTTTATTTTATATTTCGACAAAGGGAAAGGTGCATACAGTTTTCTTGAGAGAAGCTTATGAGAGAGGTTGTTTAATTGAGCCAAACCCAGTTTGTATTGCAAGGAGAAAGATGCTTGATCTCGTGTTATTGGGGCGTCGTGGTAGTTGTATGATGGATTCACAGTCGAAGGACTTGAGCACAACAGCGGAGGTCGGGAGTTAACAAAACAAATGATAGAGAAAAAAAGGGAGAGAATGTGGGTTTAATAGAAGAAAAGGGTGAGAGCAGGGGAAGGAAGGGTGGGGGGAATTCAATTGATAAATGAGGGAAAATATAGGAAGAAAGTGCAACTGAATCAACAAGTAAAAGATCAAACCATTGAGGGCCCAAAATGAGGCTGGGTCCTGTACATAGAACCAAAGATGGAATTCACTGTTCTCTCTTACTCTAGGCACAAGACATAGTCACAGAACAACGAACACTGCACTGTAAAAATCTCACAGGTAAATTGCTAATTTTGGTGAATTATAAATTTCTCAAAGTTTCTTTTGGGTTGGCCGGATTCCTCTTTATTTTTTTTTGACAAGTAGAAGATTTCTCAAAGTCATTATACTGTTTCCCAGAGTTAAATTTGGAAAATTATAGTTTTCTCAAAGTTGGAAATCTCTCTTCATTATTCCCATCATCTCCCAGTGTTTGTAATGCTTTGTTTATTTATTTTAGAGGAAACCAAATGCCCAAAGCAACATGTGCCACCTATGTCAAAGGAATGATAACGGCACATGGTCAGGTGCATGGAATGCGGCAGAAAACGCTACTGCATTCTTGCTTAACAAGATGGTATGTTGGTATCTTCTATCTATGTTCTGTCTTATCTTTTTTTATTCTAAATTTGTCCGTTCTTTGTTTAATATGCAAAATTTACACTGATTATTGAACTAAATATTTGATTGGTTTTTACTCTTCTGTCTCACTCATCATCATCATCATCATAGTATTTTCCTAATTGATTGGGGTCGGCTACATGAATTCTGGTCCGTCATTCTGCTCTATTAAAGGCCATTGGTTTTTTATTTTACTCTTTTGTCTCTCTATACATGTATTTTGTACTTTATGCCATTGTTAACCTTCTTGGCCAATTCTACTGGAAAGCTCGGTGCTCATTTTGAGTTGAGTTGATTTTATTGTAACATTGGATGTCAATGTTATGATGTGATACTGCAAAGCCTACTGGTATCATTAAGTAGTCCAAAGTTTGAAACTTATACAAACCAAGCTTTTCTCTTATATATGCCAAATGGGCACTGAATCATAATTATAAATGCATTCGAAATCAATTCATATTGTCAGATTGTACTAAATAAATATTTGAAGGATACATTTTTAAGAATCAACTGTGTTGTTATTTGTCGCAGTTAACAAAAGACTTGTTTTGAGTTGGAAAACCTTGCATGAGTCGACTTGACTTGCCAAATGGATATTTAAGATTCATATTGACTTTAGTAACACATGGTTTCTTAGATAGTGGTTGCATTATGCCATAGGTGAAAAGCTGGGTTCAATTCCCGCTAAAAAATGTTTTGTTTTGTTTGTATTTTTATTTTCTTGGGGTAAATTTCTTCATGCAAAAAGTTGAAAAACTTGCTGTGTTTTTCCATGTTAAACTTGCTGTGTGGTTTTATTACAATTGGTGATGATGATGTTATAAAAGAGAAAACAGGAAACATCAGAGCATGAATGATCAAGAAATTTCAGAAATGGCTTTTCTTGGGTTATGCAGATTCAATCATGGAGTAAGCTACTATGTGGAAAATTACAAGATTTAGGTTCTGGTATTTTGCTTCTTTCTTCATTCTTATTTTGAACTCTGGATATTTTCCAAGAAGTTTTAAAATGCAAACGTTATTCTCATGAAACTCTAGAGCTGTTACTTTTTTGCGTGCATTAAGCTATTATTGTAGGGTTGAACTAGTGTTGGTATTTGAGGGGTTTATTTGATGGTTATCCGTTGTTTTTATTGTTCTCGATTCGCCGGACATAGGCATCTGCAGTTGTCAGGGGAGAGCATAGAAGAGGCTTGTCCTGTCTGTTGTGGGTATTGCAATTGCAAGGCTTGCCTGCATTTGATTAAGAGCCAACAGGTCTTAGTGTCACATAACCATTTGCTGCTTAAATAAATTTTTTTGAGATCTTTCTAGAGTTGCTGGTTTAATGATATGCAATTACGTTTGCACTTTTTGATGTCCAATCATTTGTTGCTTAATTTGCCATTGTTTCATAGTTTATTTACCTCATGGGTTACTTAGGAATGTTTACTGGTGAGGGTAGATTTTTTATAATCATTCCCACCCTCGTGTTTCCATTCGGAGCTATCTGAAGGAGATAACCAAAGAGGAGAAGATTCGGCAACTTCAATATTTGGTACGCAAGATCCTTCCTTTGCTGAAGCTAATTCACCAAGAACAGGAATTGGAGAAGGAAACAGAGGCTGCCATCCAAGGTATGGACCTGATTATAAAGATTGAGAGTTCACAAACTGGCTAGGGTGCCTGTTCAAACTGACCTGACTGACGGTCTAACAGATCCCATTCAATTGGTCTTAAAAATTAGTAAAAAATCTACAGATTGGCATGCAAAGTCCAAACCAGATTGTTCCTTAAAGTATTTGGCGTCAGACATTTACTGAATTCTTTGTAATCTTTCAATCTGAAATTATGATTATTGCTGTTTCACGCCCTAATAGTTTCTCTGTGTGGAGGTGTTCCTCCATCTGAAGTACAAATACAACAGGCAGTATGTCACAATGATGAGCACTTATACTGGGAGGCTTTTCATGCCTCAGTAATTATTGGAATGTTATGCAATTTTTTGATCTCTTTCCTTTAAAGTATTGTTGACTGCGATCGATATCTCTGGGTTTTGGTCCAGTGATAACTGTAACACATCTATTGTGGAGTGTGGACCTCCATTGCAGCTGCTGAAACCGTTCATATGACATCCCTCTAAAATGCTGCTGAGATCTTTGTGAAGGCCTCAGGCTTCAAGGTGGTGAAGAGGACAGTTTTGAATATGTGTCGAAAGAGAGGTCTTATTTGCATGGTGAGGAGCCTCAGAATGCCAGAAGGATGAAAACAAAATCTACTGACCTGAAATCTTATTCTTTGAATGAAGAAAATCTTGCACTCGAATGTGAATCTGATAGTAGAGGCAGGGTCTCTTGCCCTCGCAAAAAGATGCAGGGATGTGGTTCTTGCCTTTGGATTTAAGGTGTACATTTGAGGATGTGGCTACTGCCATTTTGGCTAACAATTATAGATCCTTATGTGTCAGATACTACTGTTCGGTGCTCTTGTTTCATTGAAAGTGGCCAATTGGCTGTTAGTTAGAAAATGCTTCGAAAAGCAGCTGATAGAGAAGAATTTGATGACAATTATGTATATTGTCCAACTGCTAGAGATGTTCATGATGGAGAACTTGAGCACTTTCAAATGCACTGGACCAAAGCTGACCCTGAGATAGTTCGTAATGTTCTCGACAATACACTGGGTTTAAACTGGGAGCCGGTGGTCATGTATCGTGCTTTTCTCGAGAAGCCTGGCTTCAGAACTGCAAGGTGGTGTTTGATGTAACGGCCATTGACTGTCTGGAATGATGTGAGGTCAGTTGCCAGGTTAACTGTGATATAGAATGTATAGTTGCATAATTTTGGGCCTTAAATAATTGTAGTGCAGATTTTTTTCAATTGTTAACTAATTGACATGTGTTCACGTGCACGTACACACACATAAAGACAAAATTGTAAATAGGGATAGGGATATTCTAAATGTCATGTACTCTGAGACTTTCATCTAAATTATTTGTGGGTTTAGAATAGAAGTATTTATGGTTTTGATAAGGCACACGGACTGGAAATGTTTGAAGATAATTAATGATTTGCAAATAGATGCGTTTTTTTTTTTTGCATGGTATTCTTCTTGCTTTCACAAATTCACCATGGATGGTGGATTTGATTTCTTTTCTCAGTATCCATGGGTCTGTTATTTCATACACTTAAATATGGAGGCGTTCAAAAAAATTGTAGAGGGAGTGCTTGGAAATCTATGTTTTCTGCAAATGTTTGTTGTTCTGCAGATTCTTGAGGGCTGTTAATGAGTGATTCTGAATCATAACATAACTTCTGTGACAATGCACAGGTTGATGTTAGTATTCATCAGTCTTTCAACGATCGATCGAATGATGAAAAGGAGATCCGGGTCATGTACCCATAAGGTCCTCAACAAATATGCGACTTTCAAATGATCAATTAATTGTTTAGGTAACAAAATTTAAAAATAAAAAAAAAAAAACTCAACTTATTGTACATGTATTACTGTTAGTAAATTTCCACAATATTTGGATGATTGGACAAAAAGATCCCACAAAATTTTCAAATTATTCTGCAAAAAAACAAGTAGGAATTTAGCAGCAACCAAACATTTATGATCTCGTGAGCTAGGAATGAAATATAGTGTATATAATGCCGAGAATATGTAAAAAGGAAAAAACAAAAAGAAAAGTTCATTTATGATTGCATTATATAACGGCAGTCAAAATAATTTATTCAGTCAAAATAATTTATTTGTTGGTTGAATTGTTCCATGAATAAGACTTGATAAGGAGATTCAATGACAAAATCGACTCTAAATGGTGCCTAATCAGCAAAAAATATGAGGGGCTTCAAATATAAGAATGCCATTAAGGAATCAACCATTTACATTGTAATCATCATCATCATCATCTTAGCTTTTTTCCAATTAATTGGGGTCGGCTACACAAATCTTAGTTTGCTATTCTGCTCTAAGGGCCTAACGCTCTAGCTAACCCTTGCTCATTTCTCAATGTACCAGGGTTCTGGTATAGTGCGTCACTTCTGGGGATTGCGGTGAATGCCCTAGCATGAGCAGATGTTGTAGGTTAAAGATTCATGATAAGTTTTGGCAAAATTTTATGTTGGTTGCCTGCCGAACACAACCCAGCCCCTTTTCCCGGACGCAGGACATGTTAAGGAAAAGTTTTAAGGTCATTACCCTTCCTAGACCATTACATTGTAATCATAAACAACAAAAATAAGCAAGAGAATTTGGAATGATTATAACAATAATAATGTCAAATTATAAAAGAAGTTGCTGAATGTGTTTTACTCTGAAATCTGAATCTCCGACAGATGAATGGAGAGGAGGCTTACTGTGGCTTCATTTTTTCCTAACTCCACGATCCTAACATGGACTTTTAAATATTTTCAAAGTTGTTATTGGTCTCAGGCTTAAGTTGCTTTTGTTTGAAAATAGTGAATCTCTAAGTTGTTAGAATTCTCTAGATTTTTGGGTTTCTTATTGTGATGCAGGACTGTAGGATTGGGGTTTGCTTTGATTAGTTTACTGTTCTTAGCATTTCTTCATGTATATGATTACCTTGTTCTTTTTATGAGTGAATAATGGAACTATAGATAACCAGGGTCTACTCAAAAGAAACACCAGATTTCATAATTATACCTGGGTTTGTCTTTTGCTTTATGCTGGTCTCTGGTTTTCTTCTTGAGTATATGATTTTGTGTCTTTCTTATTGTTGTGGTTGTTTTTTTTTTCCGCATGTAATAATGGATTTGGATCGCTTTTCACCTTTTATTTTCTTCTTATTTCTTGCAGCAAAATGTGGTTATTATATGAGCAGATGAAGGAAGAAGCTGGTGCGTCCTAAACAAGCATTAGCATACCAAGAAAGATTTCTAAATAGCGTATGTTGATGTGTATGCATGTGCGAATCATCAGGTTTGAGTCTCTTTGAACCCACTACTTAAATTTGCAGAAAAATGTGCATTTTTCTATGCTTTTGTCTTGATATTAAAATTGACTGAACGTTATGAAACTTAGCACTTGTGGTGGTTCATTTGAGGCCACATCAATCAGCAAGCATTTATTTATTTTGCTTAATCTTTTCCAAATCCTTTTTCCTTTGGGAAAGTATAATGAAGACCATTTGTCATTGGTACAAAAAGATCACAATCATTGTATTAGATATGAAATTGGATGTCTCAAAGTATAGTATTGAACGTGCTTAAAGTCCGCAATGATTTTCACGAGACATTGTGCAGGCAAATGACACTCCCCAACCATCTGATTTCACATCCAATGGCTTGGGGTCTTTGTGACCTTTGTGCACAGAGGTGATGATCTATTTGTATACAAAATCTATCTTCCACCTTATTCATTTTTCAAATTATGTGGTTGTGCGCTTGTGTTGCATCTAGTTTCGTGCACAAAACGTGTAAAAGCCCGTGTATTATTGAGTCATCTCTCTCTCTCTGTCTCTCTCTCTACACTTGCAATAGACTTGGGAGGCCGTGTCTCTCTCTTTACAACTTGCACCAGGATTTTTAAAATTACTGTTTCAGATTCAATGTGGTATTCAAGGGTACTCGGATTGATTCCCTTCCAGTCTGTCCGGTTCGCTCTAATTTTACATTATTCCCATTTTTTTAATGGTTGTTTGATGGTTTAAAATTAAAATTATCAACCTGAAACAGGGAATATAGCTCTATACAATTTTATTTTTTTTTATATTAATTTTCTGCTGGATCAGTTTAGCCAATCCAGATCACCTGATTTGGCAGATCTGGAGTCCTTCAACTAGAAGCCGGAATACCCCCGACGGTCTGACTTTTAAGACACTGCTTGGAACTAAATTGCTATCATGTTAGATTTAAGAATCATTGCCCCAACTCATTTGAGTAGTCAAACCAGTGAGACCTTTTAGGTGGGGTGTATTCTCACTTTTGAGAAAATATGGGAAAGCTTCAATCATTTTCACAAGCTGTGGTTAAGAACTTCTCTTTTGCCCTTTTTCTTTAAAAAACAAGTACCAAACTTTTCACATATATAGTTCCATAGTTTGACCCTTCTCTAGTACGACAAATCCCACATTATCTTCCTCAGTTTATTATGGCTGTGAATTCAAATTGGATGAAATTTCAGTTGCAAACTTCAGTAGATTGCTCCAATAATGGCTGTCTTCTTCTGCGATAGCACGCCCATTTCCATTATTCATTTCCGGAAAAGGATTTTCTGGCACGTTTATAGTCGCCGAAAAATGGGTATCTGGCAAAAGCATTGAAGAAGGGTGTAGCATTGTTTGGGAGCAGTCTAGAGTGTATTGTGGATCAGGGGTAGTTTGAGAATTGAAGTCGGAGCTGGGTGGAGGTGTGAGAGAATGGTTGTTGATATGAATGTCATTGTTGGTTGCAGTAGGGAATTGTGGGTTGAGAGACGTGAAATGGAGATTTGGTTTTGGGTTACAGAGAGAGAAAGAGTTGGAGTGGAGGAGAGAGAGGAGGGTGCCGATGTCGAATCTTGGAAGATGGGTTATAGGGTCGATGCCATCACGGAGGAGGCGCTTTCGGAGGTGGGTGTTCCAGTAGTTCTTGATCTCGTTGTCGGTTCTTCCGGGCAGATGTGTAGCAATAGCTGACCATCTGCGTTATAGAGACAGGTAAAAGTAAAACCTCAGCTTGAAAGACAACTCTCTCCCTCTGATGTGTAAACCAGTTTTGACATAACAAGAAAACAGGGTTTAAAAAAGCCTGAGTTGGAATTATAACGATCTCTCTCCCTCGAGAAAAAAAGAAATTGTTTTGTATGGAAAAGGGAATACAGTGGTATCTAGTATACCATTCATAAATAGAGGGAAGGAAAAGAAAAGACATGGGCTTCTTGATCATCCCTTTCAGCTACTTAAAAATACCATTAAGTTGCATGGGAAAATCCATCAGGTTTTTGGTTACGGAAATGGATCTCGAGTTTGTTTGTTGGAGAGAAAGAGAGAGGGGGGGGATATTTCAAAAAGAGTGGCTTATTTGTTGCCTTATAGAGAGAGAGAGAGAGAGGGGGTACTTGTTCCCAAGGATGCTATGGAAGTGAATAATGGTGTGGTCTTCTTGAGGAGTGAATTTCCCCCTTTTGATATCTGGTCGGAGATAATTTGTCCATCGCAGCCTGCAACTCTTCCCGCACCTGGCCAGTCCTGTTTAAAGCATTAGCAAAGAAACTTTTGTCAACTCATTAATTAGAAAAGAATCCCATTTATAGATCATTTTCTCTCCCCTTTCTTTCTTTCTTTTTTGACTAGTAAATTTTCCAAGTACCTTGAATAATCTATACCTTCGTTTTTAGGCACCCTAACTTCTTGGTCCATCCCGGAGATGGATTTTGGATCCAAAATTTTGTAGGTCTATCATCTAAACCACTACAATTATCGTTCTTGAAAAAAATGAATTTTGTCATGAAAATGGTCTCTTTTATATTGTTTCTAGAGCAAGCATTTTGTTTACTTAAAGATCGTCAGAGCAGCTCTATTTTGGGAGCTCCAAAATCATGAATGTGAGGTGGGAATAGAATTCTCAAGTGCTCCAGGTTTATGAATCTTTGGCAAAAATGAATGTAAAATATTTTAAATTGGGATTGTCCACAAAGAGACCATCCATCTTTCATCAAGCAAACTATACAAATTCCCTGTTTAACTCTTTTTGTCATGCTTTCAAACAGTCTCTGAAGTTACATATAAGCACACATCACAAGAGATCTCATATTGATGGAGGGGCAATTCCCAATTTCACTCCTTCATGACCAAAGCATTTTTACGAAAACTATCTATTTGAATTTCAGTATCTCACTCTAAACACCTCGCTCTAAACATCCCGTGATAGTATTCTTAAACACTAATTTCTATCGCATTATTAACCTATTATGTATATGATATGTGTCCTTTGTGAGCTTTCTGCATTTTCTTCTATTGCTATTGCAAAAACGATTATGAGAGCTTTCTATAGGACAATTAACATGAGTAGAATGTTAAAGGAAAAAAATTATATAAGGTTCCATCCTTGTGTTGTAGAATTAAGATGCACTTCAAAAATTCAATTAAAAAAGAGGGTTCTAAAGTTGCGAAACCTTTCAATTGATTGTTTCGACCTCGAGATGTATGTATGTGAAGAAAAAAAAAGAATTTCAAATTCTAAAAATAATACATCTTATATTAAGTTACTTGGACTTTTTATTTTTAACTTTTTTTTAGTGTTTATAAATATTCTTGATCTGATCCGTTTTTTTAAATTTGAATTTTTTAATTAGAGCTTACTTGTATAGAGGTAAACACCTTATAGAAACCCCACCCAATATTAAATAGTTCTTCTCTTAATGGTTTCATAAATCTTCTTAAATAACACTTAAAGAGGAAAAACCAAAACAAAGCAACAAATCACTCAGCCACATGCACCAAAAAGTTCGTACACTTTTATTTTCACACCAATCTACCTATACTGCATAACAAAGTGAAAAATGCTAATAACTTTAAATTTCAAAAGTCACGTCCTAGTGACAGTTTCAATCACGAGTATTACAATTATAAAAATAAATAAATCACAATTACACACAATTGTAAGATATACAATACGCATCGTTGACATCCCCCTCCATTATTGGAACCACACCCTTTGATAAATATTCATTTTGTGACGATGTAATTTCTTGAAGCATACTCACTGCACCTGTGTATAGAAAAAGCATATGCTGCCTTGTATTGAACCCGGGTTGTGTATATAAACTTCTTTTTTTTTCTTTGAGTTTGTTCTGGTAAGTTATTCTCAAGGACTGGTTATATGTGAACTTTCGTAGTAACGATTGCAAAAAAAATATAAAAATAAAAAAAATAAAAAAATGAGGCAGAGAGAGAGAGAGAGATAATTTTACTTCAATTCATATCTAGAGAGAGAGAAATAGTTTCACTTCAATTCATATCTTTTTCTTGGCTTAATAAACCTTGTAAGATGTACTATAACCATTTATTCTATTTTGATATTAGGATAATTCATGTCTTCTATTGTTGATATTATTATCAAAAGAAGAACAAACAAAAACGATTATAACAACTCAACAAAGGGTTAGTTAACAAGGACATTACTCTATAATCATTTGTTTCTCACTCTAAAATCGTTTGTTTTCCACTCTAAAATCTGTTGTTTCTCACTCCTTAGAACCCAAAACCTCAAATAAACAAATGGGTTTCCCTTCTTTTTCTATTATTTTCCCTTTTGGAAATTTAAAAAGCATTTAAGTTTCAATTCACCTGCATTTTTTGGAAGAGTTCTCCAGCTCCCATGGCCATGCTTCTCTATGTACTGTATGAGCTTCTGGTCCTCTTCTGGTGTCCATGGCCCTTTCTTTAGACCGTCTTTTTCACAGCAAGGAGCACGACCCATGCTTTCTTTCTCTCTCTAAAATCCTCTCTATTCTCTCTCTAAAATCGACCACTTCCTTAATTCGAAACGGAAGAGGGAAATGAGCAGAGGTAGAAAGAGAACAGGGTCTGTTTCCGTGGGGGCTACCTCATTTATAAGCATCATATGATAAGCTCCCGTTGCAAGTCAAAGCTTAGAGAGATGAGAGAGAAAGAGACCACCGGCCTTTGATGCTACCCCTAAAGGTTACATTTCTTACACCGGCACGTGTCCTATTCTAGAGAGAGAGAGTGAGAGATTTTGGCCATACTTTTTTAGAGAGAAGTTGATTTTGGGTAACAACTGGAGAGAGAGAGAGTAGAGCTGGGGTTTAGAGAGAGAATACACTTAAGAGGAGTGAGAAACAAGAAATGGGGCTTGATGAGAGACAGGTATTGATTAGAGACAGAAAAAATTCATGAAAGAAGGGGAGAAACTTGAAGTGGAGCTACAGAGAGAAAGTTTGATTAAGAGAAAACTCAAAAAAGAGTGTGTAAGTGAAAGAAAGTGGAATTAGAGGTTTTGATTAAGAGAGAGAGCTTGCATTAGGCAAGCTTAGAGGGATAAAGATGTTGATTTAGAGAGCGCGAAGTAAGTGACTTAGAGAGAAAAAGAAATATAGATTGATTTAGAGAGAGAGAGAGAGAGAGATACACCGGCATTTGATGCTGGATTTTTAGATGACATAAATGTAAACTGCCACGCGTCGTTCATCAACCTGCAACCATTGACAAGGTTTAAAACCCGGAAGAAAAAAAACCGAAAAAAGTCGGAACCTGTAATAGAAGAAAAAACCTTCAATTCTCATATCACGAGAAAGCCATCCTTTCATCTAAAAATATCACAAAAAATAAGAAATTTCAACTATGAAAATTAATGAAATCGTAAATATTTTTTGGGAAATAATTCTGTTATATGTTTAAGTGTGAAAATATTTTTACACTAATTTGACCAAGTATTTTTTTTGGGACCAATTGATACTTAATTGATGTGAAAGTATTTTTACATATAAAAAAAAAAATTCATAAAAAAAATTTTCATGTGAAAATATTTTTCATTCGAGCCAAACATGTCCTCAATATGTTGCTTAGGATGAATAACTCGACCGCACTCAGTCCAGTCATGTACAAGCTCAAAAAGGCCTCAGATTTGTGTCATAAATAATTCAAATAGATAAACTAAAAAAAACTATAGAAAAATTAAAGTCTATACAATTAAAAGAAAAATATAGTTATGGATGGAAATAGATTGAAGCATTTCAAATAATATAAAAATAAAAAATTAGAGAAATATAGCATATAATTAGTAAAATAATAAATCATCATTAAAATATAAAAATAGGGAAGTATATTCCGACAGCATTTGTTATTAATTTAGTAACAATATTTGTAAATTATTAATAAGGGATTCCATTACAATTTCATTGATAAACTTTAAGTTTATCAATAAAATTTGCATCCGCAAGATGCGCCATTACTGAGCTCTTTTCAAGCTGACATGAGTTCGAGTGGGCTCAGTCGAGTTCCACTTACCCAAAAAAAAAAGAAAAAAAAGGTTGGGTGTCTCCATTTAATTTTTTTTTTTTTTTTTAAAAAAGAATTTGGGTGCCTCATTTTGCCTTTAAATTGCAATAAAGTTTCGGCCGAAAAATCCGATATATTGAATTATTTTTTAACTGCTTTAGTAATGGAGTTGGGTGGTAAATATCGGCGATTAATAGACATATTTTTGTCAAACCAATCTTTAAATCTCCCGCGCTCACGTAGGGCCAGTCAAATTGTGCCACCAAGCAGTACACGTTGGCCAATGCACATTTGCCAAATGTAAAGTGACATCACGATACTCACAGCGTGAGACACGGCTTAGATTTCTTCCTTCTTGAAATGGAAAACTGCCGTACGAAAATACCACCGTTCGAAAACGAAATCTATAGTCCATTAAATAAGTACATGTACTCGACTCTTAAAAATACTATTTTTGGGATGGAGTTTTGACCCAATATTTAAAGACATGTACTATCTAACATCCAGGTCATGAGTATTAAAAATAAATAAATTTTAAGAAATAAAAAATATATATTTTATGAACAAAACATTTGAACCGGTACTTTCAATTGTTTTTAGATAGGCAACCTATTTGCATCTGTCTTTTACAATGAATGTTTTATACTTTGAGATTGCAAATTGTAGAACTGCGGCCTAACCGCATGAAATACTTTTCTATAAAATTTAAAGGAAAATGGCTGTAGCTAGTTAAAATAAGTAAAGCTTTATCTCAAAATTCATTATAGACATAAAAAAATCAAGGAAAATTATCAAAAATATATCTTAATTTTCGTCTAATTGAAAAAAAAAATCTCAACTTTAAAAAACTTCGTCCATACCATTTTTTTTCAATTTTGACATTTTTTTACCAACATAGCTTTTACGGTAGTCGTATTATCGTAATGCCTGCTGCATTACTGTACTTTACGTACCGTAATGACTACCGTATTACAGTACTTTACACACCATAATGACTACCGCATTACAGTGCTTTACACACCATAATGATTAGGCTAAACATTACGGTACTTTAAAGACTGTAATGCTCACTGAATCTCTTTCTCTTTCATTTGGTTAAACATTACGGTATTTTAAAGGCTGTAATGCTCACTGAGTCTCTTTCTCCTTCATTTGGTACATCTGAGCATTACGGTCTTTAAAGTATCGCAATACTTAACTTGGTCATTATGGTACTTAAAGTACTGTAATTCTTAGCCTGGTTATTACGGTACTTAAAGTACCGTAACGCTAAGCCTGATCATTACAGTACTTAAAGTACTGTAATGCGGTAGTCATTATGGTAATACAATTACCATAAAGGCTATTTTGGTAAAAAAAATGTCAAAATTGAGAAAAAAGATGTAGAAGAGGTTTATAAAAGGTGATGGGTTTTTTTTTTTTCAATTAGGCGAAAATTAATATGTATTTCTAATAATTTCCCAAAAATCAATCATCTCGACCTTGATTATTAGGGTTGTGAAAAAATTAGGATTTATAGACATAAAAATAGTATACATTATGACATCGTATCTAGACTGTCCATTCACAGTAAAAATGAGTTTCACATATCTGCAAGTTCAGCACTATTTTTTGAGCTTCAAATTTCATAGTTGGTATTGAGAATTGATTTTAGAGCGACCATGGGAACTTTCGATGCCCAAAATACTTTCCAGATGAGGATTTGAAGGGTGTTGGGAATTGATTTAAGAGCGATCATGGAAATTTTTTATGCCCAAAATGCTTTCCAGATGAGGAGTTGAATTGAGGCTTTACTTTGTTTTTTCTAAAGCATGGGCCTTATAAAAACTGCATCCAAATGTAAATGTAAAATATAGTGCATTAATAAAATAAAAAGGTGTGGTTTGCGTAAGGTTGCAACATTAAATAATCAAAGTAAAGTACACCACTAATTTTTATTGTAAGATGTAATTTTGATGCAAAAAATTATTATGATAGTTGGAGAATCCATTTTTACCTCTAGTTATAAAATTTTAGACTCGAAAAATGGTTCAAATCAAGTAGATCTATAAACACATTAAAATATTGAAAATGGACGGTCTATATAATGTGTTGGAAGATGCACTATTTTTTAGACTCAAAATCTTTCTTTTCTTTCATAATCATACATCTCGATATCGAAATACATCAATGTTGAGATGATCAATTAAAGGTTTTCCAACTTCAAAACATCAATGTTGAGATGATCAATTAAAGGCATCTTAATTCTACATTTTAAGGTTGCAACTTTATATAAACTTTTTCCTAAACTAAAGCAATTGTTTAGGAATCACCAATCTAATTTGGAATTGCGTAAGAGATTCAAGTTTAAAAAGCATCTTGATTCTCCAAAATTTAGCTTTTCTTTGTACTTCTTTGTTAAACATAGCTCAATACGACTTGGAATCGCCCAAAGCGAGTCACAATCTAGTTGACAGATTAAAGCCCGATCCTGATTTTTTAAGCACTAAATCAAATCAACAAATTTAACAATTAAGTACTTACACAAGTGTGGTATTTTGATATTCTAACCAACGAGAAAAAGGCAATTTCAGCTCTTTATTTCTTCGTTAAACATAACTCAATACGACTCGAGAATCACCCTAATTAAGTCACAACAGACTCGAGAGATCAAAGCCCGATTCTGATTCAACCAATTTACCAATAAAGCACTTATATACACGTGGTTCTTTGACTATTTAAGCACTGAAAAAAGGCGACTTAAGCAGACCAAAGACCTCTCATCGCCATTTAGGACGAGCCACTGGGGTCCGGTAGAATGATGCAAACATTCATAATTGTTTTGAATTCCAAACCCGAAATAAAAGGAAAAATGAAAAAGTGGTTTATGCATCAAGGGATACCTAACTGCACGAGCATCCCCGGCTTTACATTTCCATCTTGAAGATAGACGTCGGTTGTAGCCTCTCCAATAAAGCCAAAATCAATGGTATAATTTTTATTTTTATCATTTTTTGTTTTAAAATTTATTTTTGCACCACACATTCATGTTCTCTATATTAGAGATTATACATACCTTAAAAATTAGGTCTAAAATTCATTTAAAAATGAATCATGAAGAGTAGATGCATATCTCCATGAAAATCATGCCCGAAACAAAATATGGTAATAAATAATAAATTGTAAGAAACTATTTATCTTTTGTACATGGAGGTCACAACTATTCCCACTCATTAGATGTCAAATTGTAGACAATCCCCAAAAAAACGTGGAGCATTCACATAAATTGGTATACGCCATTTAAGTTGTGCGAAAATATTAACTCCTCCTAATAGCTTACTAAAGTTTCCATATAAAGATCGGCAATAATTATTTTTTCAACAAATTGAATGAACTATTCTTTGGACTGACACTAGATTGATGAGGGGATTGGTTGAGTTAAAAATTACTGTCAACTTCTCAACATCATTGGACCAAATTTTCAAAAAATAGAGAAAAATAAGAATGAGTTAAAAATATATAAATATGACCAAAAAAAGGCCCAATTTTTTTTAATTAGACC